ACTGGTAGATAAATATTTCTTCTTAGTATCTAGATATAGCAAGACCAAATACAGTAGAACCTCCCTGTAAAGGACACCTAATTGCAGAACCAAAGGGTCCTTTAGGGAGAGGTGTCCTCTTACCAGAGAGTGGCTAAATAGTAAAAATAATAATTTTACAAATCAAAACTGTCCTTTGTAGAGAGGTATCCTCTAGCGCGAGTGTCCTCAAGGAGTTTCTACTGTAATAGCAGTTTTGATATATTATAATTGTTGCCTTTTCACTTTCATTGTAATCCAAATTGTGTTCAATTTTAAATTATTATATTATTATAGGGAAGGAGTTGTTATATGATCTTGTCTATTGTAATTATTGAACTACAATATAAGCTCTTTAATTCAACTGGCTATAATTCAATACCTACTTTAATATTCAAATTTATTATTATTTTTTTAAAATTCCTAATAAGGATATTTTCTTTGATTTAACAGACTATAATTCAACACCAACCTTAATTCAACTGAAAATTCTGGTCCCTTATAAGGTGTTGAATTAAAGAAGTTTGTATATACAGTAGAACCTCCCTGTAAAGGACTCCTAATTGCAGAGACAAGGTGTCCTTTAGGGAGAGGTGTTGTCTTACCGGAGATTTGCTAAATTGTAAAAATGATAATTTTTCAAATGAAAACTGTCCTTTGAAGAGAGATGTTCACTAGCGTGAGTGTCCTCTCATGTAGGTTCTTCTGTACTGGCTATTTCTTATCAATTTAAAAGTAACCTATTTAATAAAATTTAAAGAGAAGGCTCGGCACATTTACAATATTTATAACAGCTATTTTTGGATTAGGCCCATTTGGATACTTAGAACACATTATTGACTGTATTGACTCATCCATTGATGAGCTCTACTCTTCCCCGGCAGTCACCATCAAAAGTCTCAAGCTCTACAAGCTTGATACCCTAATATGATTGAGTGGAGATAAGAAAGAAGAAGAAGATACTTAGAAAAGCTCTGCTCTTACTTTTGTTGTGCCTATCTTAACACCTCTCTAGGCTCTCAACTCAAAGGGCTAATTCTTTAAAATGAGATAGCCTAACTTCTTTAATTCCACCCCTCATTCACAACCATTTCTTAAATCAAATTTTGAGATTAGATAATTGTTTAAATACAACTTGATATGGCTAAAAATTAAATACTTGGACTGTAGTTAGCACATGCACACTGTGCTTGAAGTGTCACAATGCTGCAGCCCACTGACCTCACCCATAATGTCACACTCATGTTTCATTTTCTTGTGGATGAATTAGGAAGCATCATCGGTTCAATAACCTAACTTACACAGTCTCGGGGTCTTTAATTGAAGACTGCATATAGCAATTAGAAAATACCTCTTCTTCTTCTTTCTTATCTCCACTCAATCATATTAGGGTATTAAGTTGTGACCCTTGATGGTGTCCGTTTGACAACAATCATGACTGGGTGAAGTAGAATGCATCTGCCTTTGTCATTAAGACTGGGAGCACTACTCAGTTGCAGGCCAACTTAGCTCCAAAAGAAATGGCCTCATCTGACATGAGGAACAAACGCCATGTGCAGCCGCTCCTAACAAGGATTACAAACACAGCTCATCCTGTATCCCTGGATTAGGAGTCCTTACAGGGTACTATCAGCCGGGCCAGCTGAACCCAGGTTTTTTATTGAGCTTGTTACTGCTCCCCCTCCTCCTTTTTCATCCGGACTTGGGACCGGCAAAGGCAAGTTGAAAATACCTCTTGAATCATTTTCATTGATTCATTCAATTCAATTTTTAAAATTATTTTTAAATGGAACCAGAATGAACCTGGACCTCTTAGTTTTTGGGAAAATATTTTGTGTAAAACATATTTTTGATATTTTATAATTAATTAAAATGGCATTTTCTGACTATTCAATTGTACATTTCCGGATGAAAGCCCGGTTGAAAAAGGAGGAGGGGGAGCAGTAACAAGCTCGCTAAAAAACCTGGGTTCAGCTGGCCCGGCTGATAGTACCCTGTAAGGGCTCCTAATCTAGGAATACAGGATGAGCAGCGTTTGTACTCCATGTTAGGAGCGGCTGCACATGGCGTCTGTTCCTCATGTCAGAGGCGGCCATTTCTTTTGGAGCCAAGTCGGCCTGCCACTGAGTAGTGCTCCCAGTCTTAATGACAAATGCAGACGCATTCTACTTCACCCAGTCATGATGGTTGTCAAATACCATCAAGGGTCACAACTTGATACCCTAATGATTGAATGGAGATAAGAAAGAAGAAAAGAAGAAGACATTTAAAGTTGACAGAGTACCATTGATCAACAAGCCAAAGGC